TTTTTTTATTTAAGTAATCAAATCTTTTATTGATAACAAAGCTAACTATAAAATCCTATTTACAATTAATTTCACTTAAAAAAAAAATAATAAATAATAATAATAATAATAATAATAATAATGATAACAATAACGCTAAAAATTAAAATCCTATTTACAATTAATTCGCTTGAATAAAGAAAAAACTATTCATTCAAAACACTATTTACAATTTCCTTCGATTTAAAAAGCACTTAATGGAGCTTAGAAAGAATTAATTTAACGAAGAAAAATTTATTCGAATTAAAAAACCGCACCTCATGGAGGCCTCTTTCAAATAATCATACTGAAAACTTAATCCACACTCGACACAGTCGTCACAAACTCATTGAAAGAATGCATTTTAAGACAACAAAATAGATCCACAAAACACATCGTGCCTGTGAAGGTGCAAGAAAGGACAGACATTTAGGAAACTGACGGCACAGCTCACCGGATTTGAAGCTTGTTGTGAAATCAAACGTTTAAATCGTGAATGAGACGAATCGGGGTCCGTCAGGGATAGTTGGAATAGCCACGTTTTCAGTATTGTCAACATACTTTCGCCCCATTTATGGATTTAAAAAAAAAACAAAACAAAAAAAACATTACATCAGACCCCACATAGACTTGTCCATTTCAGTCTTGTATTTTTGGTGGTTTTGGCGCCAACAACTGTATGTCATGCTATGTTCGTAGCTATATGGTCACGCGAAACTATTTTATTTCACGCAGCTCTAAATTTGCTTCGTCGTACCTCCAAATCATTCGAAATTACACTGAACTATTTAAGTGTGCCTAATAACATTTGTCACACGATTTTCAAATCATTCGACGTTTAATACATTGAACCATCTGCGTATGCTTTAAACCATTCGCCTCTCGATTAAATCATTCGACTTTACATTGAACTATTTTCATATGCCATAAAGCATTTGTAAATGATTGCGTGAAATCTTATTTGCTTAAACAATTACGAAACAGAGCAGCCGACCGTTCGTTATCGATCATTTTGCACATGGTATATTGATGGATTATAATTTAAACAAACCGATTTTTGTTTTTGTGTTATCGTTTTAAAATCTACCAGTGGACAGCTTCTAACCTGACCAAATCGTTTGTACCTAGGCGAACTATTTCACACAAATCAACAGGCCAGGCTATTTTATAAATTTTAAGAAGGATCATTTCTGTATATTATTTGAACCATTTCGTAATTCATAACTAGACCATTTGATTTTGTCTGTTCTATTTAACATGATAATTTTGGTGGTTAAACGGCCGCCCATAATTACCGCTTATATTTGAAGTAACATACTACATTTGGAAGTTTTTGGTATTATCAATAAACCTATCTTAATAAATCAGTGCAGGCAATGTTTTCCTTTCAAATTTCCTTTTAAACCATCTTTTTTCTGAGTTTTTTGTTTGTTTAATGAAATCGCTTTCGAATACGCTTCATCGTCAAAACACATTTAAAGAATACTATGTAGGACCTGCCTTCATATTTTATTCATAAGAAACTAAACGTGTAAAACGATCGTTTACATTATAGTTTGCGTGCATACTCTCAATATCATATAAACGTATGCCTCGCTGGCTCCCTTTTCTAAGATCGCGGCACGATGTACACGTAACAACGGTCAACCAATACTATGTAATTTCATGCCCGATAAGGAGTTGTCCTGGTATAGAGATGGCGTAATATTGACTTTTCCTAAGCTAGCCAGCCTAAGAAACTGGGCCAACCAGGCTTATGTTTTAATCAGCACCTTATTAGGTATACAACTAAACAAAATGTGACAGCTCTCTAGTCAATCTTCTGCTTTCGATCTTCACGCGGATGAAAAAGAAAAAAAAACTTGCCTAGGCAGTGAGAATTAATTACTTTTTATTCCATGTTTCCTGTTTGTTAATAATGATAACTTTAAGTGATGGATACCATAACTTAAACAAAACAAAACACAAAACACTTACAACGCACACTCTCGTTTTCTGTTGATATGCGGACAAGTTGACATTTGTATTTTTTGATGTCATGTTATAAAGATGATGTCAGCTGTTTTAATCACATGTATAATAATATAATATATAATATATCATTGACGCTTGAAAGACATCGCCATTAATCTAGCGCGCGTGTGGTAACTCACGCTAAACAGTCGCTGTTTGTTCTTGTTCGGTGTTGTTTGTTATGTGACCTGCAACGTAAGGCTCTTTCAACATGAACAATGTTCGGATCGTCATTTACTTCTTTGTGATATGTATTTGCCATGTTGTTAAATGTGGAAGTCTTGAAGGTGAGGCCATAGTTATTTAATACGATGACTAAAGGATAATGTTGTGTTTTGTTGGTACAGCAAGTTCCTTCATTTTTATAAGGCCACATTAACGACTTACTAGTGGTCTTTATTGGAAATAGGTGCCAGTAATTTGAGACAAATCTAGAGGGAAAATTGTTACAGCGACGATTCAATTTATGACTTCAATTTTTGCATATTACTACATTAGACCAGCGAAAACGAGTAATAAAAACACACACAAAGGCGGATGCAGTGAGTTTTGGATTTAAGCGAGAACATCGTTCGCTCCCAAATAAAGGCCCTTGGTAATTAAGACTCAGTTTAGTGGCTTTTGCCATTTTTTCAAGAATAGTTAGGGCTCTGGCCAAAAAAAAAAAGTTCCTCTGAATTCCTATCCCTGCCCTCAAACGTTGTAAGCAACTATTTTTGGAATATCCATTGAGTCGTTACTCTTAGAAGAAAAAAAATTATGATACCATTATGCGTCAGAGTTTTGCAATGATGAATTCAAAATGCTGGATTAAGCTAGGCATCTGTCATGTTCTTGCTCTTGTTTGACGGATAGATCCTTATATCCTGTGTCTACCTCAGTCGATTAGTCGTGGTGGGTGGGAGCGGGCGGTACATATACACTATAGGCTATAACAGCCATTGGAGTATCCCTTAATAAAAGCGTTTAGAGGATAGAAAAAAAAAGAGCAACAACAAAAAAACAAAAAAATATTTTATGTATCTAAGAACCACACACATTTAGTTGAAAGTATTTATCTTTATCTATATCACAATAAAGTTAAAATATGTTGGCCGTGACAATGGACAAAAAATGTCTTGGGAGATAAAAACTACCGACATCGTTTTCGGCCTTGACCTAACTTTTCTCCAAGAAAAAAGGTGAATCGAACAATTTCTCTACGAGCAATTATAATTGTCATTGCAAAGCAATTGCTTAACTTGAACAGGGAAATGTTCATTTTCAGAAATTGGGGTGAAAAGTAAAATAAAATAAATTTATAAATTATCTATAAATTTTCACTCCAGTTCAAATCGTAAAAAGTATTTTCTTTTTCTAGAAAGGTTTATTTTTTGATAGCATTTTATTTTTAAGGGAATTAAAGATCGTAATAAGACACTTTTTATCATCGAAAACAATAATAATGAAATAAAATTTGTCGTTTTGAAGGAAACCTGAAACCTTGAAATAGGATCTTTGAAACATATAATGCCTCTCTTCTGTGTTTTATCCGTTGTTGTCGATCCTAACCAAACATTGTTTAATTTTTAGAATTTTTATCTGTGTCCAACCCTGGACAGACACTGTGTACTGTAGGTGAAGAAACTTGTTTTATTTGAACGCGTGAGTGCATAGTGAAAATAAATATGAATGAATGAGATAAATTTTATTGGCAATAACTCTTATTTGTGATCTTATATTGTAATGTGCAAAAAGCATTTTTTATGATGTATATTACGCCCAATTTCATAACATGCGCCATATTTCCGCTATCAGCAGTTTAAAATGACGAGTTAGATTGTACGTGTTTAAATAGCCTCAGTATCAGGAAGGCCTGATACTCAGGCTAGTGTTTAAATTAATCAAGACTTATTTATAGATTTTCGACGAATTTGACACAATTATTTCTCCCCCACTTTTGTAAAAAATGAACATGCTCAACTGCAAATTTACAATTTTACTAATTTAGCTGAAAGCGCACTTTTAAGAGACGCTGCAACACGAAAAACGTTAATGGATATTTCTCTTTCTACGGTATACAATTTCGTTTGCCTACTTGAGAAATGTGAAATTTGTCCCCATACGCCAACTACGCACAAGTGAAAACTTCAAAGATCACTGGAAAAATTAGTTCGTTAACACGGTACGGCAATTTACGCGTCACTACTTTGTAAGCAAAAGAGAGAATAATCTAAGAGCGCAAATCCCTATGCCTCATGATAATTATCTGTAATCCATTTTAAGCTAGCGCACGCACAGCGAAGGTTATCAGTGCCAGATCCAGATCCTGAGATAAAAGAAGAGGGGGAAGGGGCCGGTCTCCAAAAAAGCTTTTCTGGTTATTTTTATCAGTTGTTTTCGTGACCGGTTCGGTCCACCTTTACGTGAACCTGACGTGTTTCGCCGCGAAACATCTGAAGTTTGACAGCCGTTATACAACTGTAGCAAATATCACACCAAAGGTTTATTTTATTGACCTGTTTTTTAGTCAGAGCGTTCCGCTCATTATTTATGAAGGAATTTCATTTAGAACGTCAGATTGCAGTATAGGAGTCCAAATTACACTTTGATATCAAAGATTGGGATTTCCTATCGATAGATTCATTTGAAGTGAAGAATGTTAAATACTGACAAACCTTTAATAAGGGAATGGCTTCAGACGTTTATGTTACGGAGTAAGATATTTTTTCTCCAGGAATATTCCTCGTTCAGAAAAAGCATACGCCGAGCCTTTATTAAGAATTATTCTTTGGAGTTTTAAACTGCATATCGTATTCTTAATTTCTAAATACTTGCGAGAAGTATTCTGCTGTGCGAAAGCAGATAAGGTCAGATGCTTCAAGCTGCTGTTACTTATTATTATCATTATTATTATTATTATTATTATTATTATTATTATTATTATTATCATCATCATCATCATCATCATCATCATTATTATTATTACT